GGCCGGGATTCTAACCGGGCATAGTCCCCAGTTTTAGAGGAACATCAGTACGTAAAGAGAAGATTTTTTTCAGAAGCGTAGCCAACCCAAAGACAGAATTCCTTCCCACAAATGTTCAAGATAGTCAATGCCTCATTCTCGCAATTGATTTACATGTATCCCGACCTTCACTTCATGACCCTTTCTGTCTTTTGTCTCGAACAAAAATTCAACCAAAACAAACAAACTCCAAACATCCGCTTAATTAAATCTCGTTTCGTTGACGTAGACGGTCAAGAGATTGTTTTATTTACATGATTCATTCGGAAACATTCCTATCGGCATCATTTTCTACCTTGAAATTTACTTCCGTTAAGTCACGCCCAAATATCTCTACGTTTAAATAACACACAAAAGATCAAATATTTGTTTATTTTGATATTGCCGTGCACAGTTATTTCCCCTTTCATTAGCAATTTAAAAAAACCCAAATGAAGTGATAATTCTTGATACTGATACATATTGATCTTTAAAAGACAGTTTCAGTAATAACAATATATGCGAATTGCGACTCTGAAAATAATTGGTATATTGTATAACAGTTATAATATAACAATCGCCATTTTGAATATTTATTTTTAAAGCGGCATTAGCCATAAGGAAGTCTTAGTTAACTACACAATTAAACATGGTTGATAGGGGGTGGCGAGGGGACGGGTTGTCGGCGTGCAGTAATTGGAGAGATACAGGCGTTGTTTTCACTGAGTTATCGACGTTTAAACTCTCAATTTACGAATCGATAATGAAAGTTGAACGTCTTACTTTTCTGCACCAATCGGGTCAATGAAGACGGGATCGAACCCGGGCGTCCTAGTTAGTGAGGCAGTACAAAACTCTTTGGTTTTCAAGGAGGTACAAAACACTTGGATTTTCGATAATGGAGGGGGGGGGGGTCGTATGGCCTAGCTCTAGAGTGTCATGCTTCGAGCTCTGGCTGACCGGTCTCCTCTGACTTGTGGACGGGTCGTGGTTTCCATCCCTGGGCGTATCTGACTTGGAGATAAGGGCGCCTTCTCAATCTCGTGGGTTTACTGCAGGTACTCTGGTTTCCAGCCACAGGATAATAAAAACAAGACAAGAAGTTTCGACGAGGGTTCCACTCCATCGTCGTTATTTAGAGCATTCAATACTATTCAAGTGATTAAATCATTTTCTTGGTGAGTGTAATAACTTCTTGTGCCACTTCAACAACCATGTGATATTATTCAACAGCGATTAAATTAATTTCTTGGGGAGTGTAATAACTTCTTGTGCCACTTTAACCACCATGTGTTCTCGTGACGAGAAAATGAGTGTGGGCTGACTAGGCTAATTACTGTTTACTTGTTAATGTATTTACTTAATATAAAGTTTTATACTACGTGTACAGTTGATTAATCATGTGGGTCGTCTATATATGTTTAAATATGGCGGTTTATTAATTTATTATAGCGGACTATTGTAAATAATGTATTAATAAACTGAAAACATCAATAACTATATTTACGATCAAAGCATCCTGGTTATACGGGCTGCTAAATTATTTTTGAAAATGGAAGTTAGTCTATAGGTTCTTTTTATGTCTTTTGTTTTTAATTACTTATATAACCATTTTAATTATTTAAGTATCTATATCGGTTTAAAGTATCAACATTGTTAGTAATTTATAACATTCTTTACAGCGAGTTACAACTTACAGAATCACTGGAAGAAGCCGCGGTGACTCGGTGAGTTAGGCACTGGAAATGAAATGGGGTTTAACGTCCTGCTGTTCTGCTCCGATTGGGCTAATGCAGACGCATATACGCTATACAGTGTGGTATGAGGAAAATTTTGCCCGGACAGCGGCACCACGACCTACTCTAATATCGAATTCCAACTGCCAATGGGTCCTTTACGTGAACGCCAATGTGTACACGGGGTCTCGATTTTCGTACCATCCGAAAGACTATACGTTACCCCTTGCCAGACTCTATGTCCCTTGCAATGGGGAACCGCGCCGGAAAATCTAGATGAACCTTCTCGGCCAACACCAGGGTTGAATACGGGACCTCCAGGTAAGCAAGCCGTGTTAGACGTTACACGTTAGGTCAATAACAAGGGGGTCCCTGGTTCGACCGACGTTGGCCGAATAAGTTCTCGGCATTTTCCGTCGCGGTTCCCCCCTTGCACCCAATTTCATTCCACAATCACTGGTCAATATGCCACCTGGATGAAGTTAATAAGGTAATAATATTAACCCTTTATTGGCTTTAAATTAAATTTCAAATCAAACTCTTTAATTATTCAAGAAATATATGAGTAAGTGTGTTCTATAGCCTATAAAATTTTGCATATATTTGATAGCATATTAATAAACTATATATTTGCGCAGTAAACTATAAAAGCCGATAAATAGAATTATGAATATTCATGATGAGATATGCGCGAATGTATTATATGGGATTGTATTTTAGTACACTATGTATAGGCTTCTGACTCGGAAATGGGATTTAACGTCCTACTATTCTGCACCAACCGGGTTAATAAAAAAGGAAGGAAAGGAAATGGGTCTATGTTTAATCACTCTGAGACTAACATGGGTTTATGTGTGCAAAGGAAGGAGAATTTTGCCCGGATGGCGACGTAACCACCCACCGAATTTCAATTGTCAAGGGTTATATTACGTTCACACCAACGTATGTACATGGGTGGTATTCCATATTTCGTCCATTCCGGACGACTAGGCAACACCATCTGGGATCAGAGCCCTGTACATTCTTGTTGAGAGCCAAGTGTCCCCACCCCATGACCTCAACGGCTCCGCTATGACAACATTCTTTTTTAGCCTTGTACAAAATAGGGTAAAAATCCAATCTCGTCCGCACTGATGGCACTTCGGGGATATGGGGGTATAGGGGTGTCCGCTATTATCATACGAAACTATGGTGTGGAAACATATACATGTTCACTATTGTTTGTAGTGTATCAGTGGACAAAATATACACATAGTGTGTAATACGTCATCAAATGTGTTTGTTCATTGTTCATATTTATTTCTAGATGTTAGTCGTTATCCCATCCTCTGCTCTCCAGAGATTTTGGGTTTATAAGGGAGAGGTCATGACCTCACACGAATCATGTGTCTAGTCCTCCGGATTGAGAAATAAAGAGAACTCCTCATCTCGGGAATAAAATAAAACATTTTGATTATGCAAGTTAAAGATGGTCATGATGCCTTTACAAAAACCAACCGAAAAATAACAATTTAAAGATACATTATGGGAGATTCGGTAACGAGTTGGCAGTTCTCACTATAATAATTAAAAATTAGATAAGGCAATTTGCTGAAAATTTCATTCAAATTGATCCACTATGAACCGAGAACTAAGCGAATGAAATTTCTGCCTAGCCTTGGTCATCATTACTAAAGTCAGTACGATAAACAGCATAGTCTCGATTATCCATTATTTGCTTGATAACGATATCTGTATGTGTATCGAAACGTATCATGTTACTAAATTCAGAAGTAGTATATCCATATAAGTGTTTTTAATTTTAATCCATTTAATCGTTAAATCGAGAAGGAAAGTTATGCAGTAAATCGGCTCACAATCCACTTAAGATCGCAGGCTAGCGATGCCATCTAGAGTTGTTTATGGTCTGGATAAGTTAATTAATGTCTAATTAATAATTTAGATAACATCTCAGGCCTAAAGAAAGACCTGCAATAGACAGATTTAGCTCTTGCATAATGTATGTTTAACATACCAACTTCGTCTCAAATTAGTGCAAACATCGTTAATTTCCTTTCACAGCGAATGATTAGATGCAAGCTGCAATTATTCTATAAAAGTCACAATAATTTGTCTTCATTACATCGGTTTTTAATCACATCTAATTGCTCTGGCACTTGCGATATTCCTGAATAATGGCCATTGGTGGTCTCGCTGTAATACCGCTTGTTGTCAATTAGAGTTTTTCAAATATATTTGTGAAATGTAAAGATTTGTAAGATTCAATAAGTTTTTGAATGACCATAATATCCTAAGTCTAGTCGTTCGGATGGGACGATAAATCGAGGACCCGTGTATACACTGGCGTGTACATAAAAGATCCCTTGGCAGTTGGAATTCGATACAAGAGTAGGCCATAATACCGCTGCCCGGGCAAAATCCCCCTCATACCACACTATATGGCGTACGCCCATCTTCTTTAGCCCAGTTGGAGCAGAACAGTAGGAGGTTAAACTCCATTCCATTTCAAATGGACGTGGTTGGTGCACATATAAATTAATAACAATGCTTTAATGAAAATTCTTCAACTGGCGTGGTTTCGATTCCCCGGCTGTACGTGACAAGGAGTAGGGTCGCCTGTCCAACCTCGTGGGTTTTCTCCGGTTTCCTCCAACTGCTAATGACCCCTATGCGTAAGCGAATGGAAATAAAACTCAACCATATGTTAGTCCCGAAATGACCTAGTTTGTGTCGGGTGGACGTTAAACCCCATTTCTCTCTCTCTTAATGAAAATTCGATAAAACACCATTCCATATTCTTCTGCTAAACAAAATGGACGTTCTGCAAATCTCTGCGGAACATGGTAAACGTGGACATGAATTATTCAAAAATTAATATTTGTCATCTTTATTTCCCAGCTGTAAACCCAAAAAGTTACGAGCAAAAATTTGGTGCGTATCAATTTGCTGTAGACTATTTTATGTCATAATATTTGCTGATAAGCCATTTTTTTTTATTTGAATAACGATCGAGACAGGTAGTCGAAGATACCAAAATAATGTATGGGGTTATTGAGTGGAGTTTATGCTTGATATATCACATTGCAAAACAAATACAGCTATCAATATACCCTGAGCTAATATATATTTTATATACTGCTTTAATTAAATATCTCAGCCTAATTATTGAGTGGGCTGCTTCCGTACCCAGGAATATCTTGAGTTGCCTTAATATTTTCAGTCAATATATAAGAGACAATTACTTACCTCGCTACGTGTCTGCCTAATTTCGTACTCCTTTTGCACCTAACCGGTTGTCTTAATCCACTAATGGCAACAATAAGTATATCTATATCACCTTGAATCATCTACCATATACCTTGATATACGTATATCAGTTCATATTATAACCCTTAAGGAATGATATACATCATATACAGGATTTTTCCTATTATTACTATTTCACACACTTCGCTAAACATGCAGACGTCCATATGTCACGCATGTGATTGTAGCCTATATTTAGAAATATCCTACGATACGAAAAATGAATAGAGTTGGGGTTTAAAGAAACTACGCCCTGAAGTTCAACATAACAATGTTTAATGTAGCTGGCTGTGTTGATATGGGGAGAGTTATCCCATCGATTTTGCTTGAAAGTTTAGTTCATCAAATATTCCGTTTAGGTTTAAGGGCAAAGTGCCAGAAAAAAAAACAATTGACGAGCACAAAGAAAGCTTGGATACTATATACCACTAAAATTTAAAGTTAGAAAGAATTAAATGCGTCAAATGCGACCCTTCGTCTTTGGCATTAAATTAATTTACTTCACAGTATACAAGGAAAGATTTTGATACTGTATAACGAGGCATTAACGAAGGAAAGAATTTAATGCGTCAAAATTAATTCGCGTTTCTATTCTGTAATCTAATAAAGTATGCAGTGGTCAATATTGTCAGCCATCTTGGCAAGGTATAGATGTGGCTATGTTTCTTCCACCAAGTGTATTCATGACGATTTATGTACTTAAAGTTTTATTTACATGTTGTTGTTTTTTTATTTGGGGGAGGGGGGCGAAACACCGAGGACCCGTGTATACATTGGCGTGCACGTAAAAGATCCCTTGGCAGTTGGAATTAGATATAAGAGTATGTCATAGTGCCTCTTCCCGGGCAAAATGTCCCTCATAGCACACTGTATGGCGTATGTCCGTCTTCATTAGCCCAGTCGGAGCAAACCAGCAAGATGTTAAACCCCATTTCATTTATATATTTTAGTTCACCTTGAACCGAGGCTCCAGGTACAGGTTGGCGTGCGCTTAAAATAATTTTAACCCTTTGCAATTAGAGTTTGATCAAAAGCAGGCGGAAAATAGTATTGGCACAGGCATGTGCGATCTGATCACATTTAATGTATGAAATAGCTGTCATGGGTAACGACACGGGTCATTTTTAAATTCAGATTTAATCATTTTGTCAATGCGCATGGCCACGCCATATTACAATTACTGATCATCATGTAAATATTATTCTTTGTTATTAAATTCGAGTGTTGTAATCTCTTGCGGCTTGGTGACGTCAATTCAATAGCCCCGGGCAAATATAGTTGGGAGAGTCTATTTTTCAGGTCGGTTTGGGAGGGCGAAATCTATTTGTTATGGCCAGCTCAATTTTTGTCAAGGTCGTTGAGATGTAAATAAAGTTAGGGCACGTGATTGTTGGTGGGATTGTAGGTTAGGGTTAGGGTAAGCATTGGGGCTAGGTCCAGGGTTAGGTTTAAGAATTTGGGGGAGAGATTAACGCTTACCCTGTTTACATCTCGTGACCTATGACGAAAAATTGAGTTGGCCTTATCATTTAGCACTAACCGTTTGAGAGGTCGAAAAATATTTCAGCACAACTGTTAATCAAAGGTAGGGGTGGGTAACTCTAACACTAACCCGAATAACACATAATTCCCGTATGTAAATGAGCCCCCCCCCCCCACTGAACTCCACACCAACCTTGTCTTATCCCGGAAGCCGAAAGAGCGTGAGCAGAATCGTAGTGTAATTAAAAGTTTCAGCTACGTTGATAGTCTTTGTTTCAAACAGGTAGAACGTTAGTATTTTTATTTCAAAATAGAAAAACAAAAATAAGTTACAAAGCAAATATATTTACATGGCTCGAGATCGCAGAAAAGTAGGACATTAAATCCCATTAAAGTCCAATGTTTTCTGCACCAACCGGGATAATGAAGACGGATATACATCATGATGTATATAGTCCCATCCAAAGGACTAGGCGCTGTTTCTTACCAGGCCTTCCGTCATGCATCACTGACAAGAGGATAGAACATATGAGAGGATTCTTTTCTAGAATATTCAATCGAGTACTCTCCAACAAGTTACTAGCTATTACAGGATTAGTAAAATCTTGTCTATTACTTCTTGATTTGCCAAACTGGTAAGTCGTGATGATAGTGTTGCTTGTTTGTTTTAATGACGTATCACAACAGATTTTTGTCTTGCACAAGACAGGGCATGGTTATTGTTTATAGAAAATGGGGAGTTCACATTTTTAAGAAACAGCTGGTGTATTCTTTTCAACTGAAACAAATAATTAACTTTGTATTGATAATTTCACAATGAAGTCGCGTCCACGTTGTCAAAGGTTCTAGTACGAAATTCACAACTGAGTCACTCTATCCAGTGCAGAAATTAAGAGATATGCCCAAACTGGCATAAAAACTGCACAAAGCCCGCAACAGAGTTGATTGGAAGATGTATTTACCAGTTTTATTCTCTGAAAGTTTAAACAAACAAAATTATTAAACTATTCAATTATATTCATAACAAAACACAACATATAACTGCGTCTCTATTATTTAATAACAACGTTTCATACGGTTCACGTTTGCAACAAGTTAACGTGACCTATATGCGTCACTAAACGTCGTTATTAAATAATAGAGAAGTAGTTATATCCATATATACCTTGTGTTGTGTTTTGTTATGAATAGTTAACCATGCTTCTAGATGACATTTAAAGAATTGTCTAATTATAAGTTATAATAGGCGTTTTTACGAGAAACCTATTAGGGCTAATCGATTTGCATTTCCTTTCCAAACACATTTACGGCAAAAATTAGCCTAATCGGTTTCACCTAATTGTCGTATTTACCACGACGATTTGCCAAATCGATTATGCAAATCTTCCAACTTGCTCGCCTGCCGGATTGACGATTCGATTTCCAAGATGGCGTCCCCAACAAGGGACACGACGTGCCCGACGTTAGATCATTTTCTTTTGAATTTCACATTAAAATATGAATATTATGGACATTCCTAATAACAATACGGGGCATTTGGGGACAGTCAACTGGTACAACTTTTCGTTTTTATTTTTGGGCGGTGTCGCCAAGAACATCATAAAGAAAAGTGAATTGTTTTAACATTTTTCCTCAATTTTTCAGTCTTCAGCCATCTTGCGAGGCAACTCATCGCGTTTACGAGAAACGATTGGAATACCAACTCGAGACCTATCTCGATAGGTAATCGAAACCGATTTGTTTTCTCGTAAAAACGCCTAATGTTGCATGCTTGTTGTTGTTAAAAGGAAAAGGACAAAATGTAAGAAACGTCAGAGGCCTAATTTTCCACCCATTCGAAATAAAGCGATTTTTATTATTATTAACAGGTTTGTCCGATTCGAAATATAATTCATAATGTTTAAAGGCGATAAATCGCTTTGATTAAGACCAACGGGTCTAATGATGGCGGCTTTGATTTAAATGAACTGAATTGGATTGGACAACTGGCAAAAGCCTAGTTCTCTCCAAACATATAAAATAGTTAAATTTTATGTTTACAATAAACAATGGTGGACATATCTATAGACAGTGAGTTACAAACAGTTGTGAACTGGATCTGATGTGTTATGTTACATTTTTATTCGTAATATAAAGCGGAAGTCATTTTTTTAATTTTTTTTTTAAATGTCGACAGTGGAACTCTAAATCAGCTATACAGAATCTATCTGTGGACCAAACAGTTGAACTTTTATCATTTTAAAGGAACATGATCATGTCGATTTTGGTGTTTATTCACTCCAACTCTAATGAGTTTTAAAAGTGAAATAGATTAAATCGATCCAACAGTTTCAGAGAAAAATGCATTTTTTGCAACGGTCAAATACGCAGTAGATCAACTGTGTGTATGAATTTTGCGACATGAACCTTTGAAATACGGGGGTTGGGTGACGTGCGCGTTGTATCATAAGGTCTGTCATTGAGTCAACTGGCGTGGTTTCAATTTCCCGTGTGTTTTCTCCGCTTACTTCTCGGTTCATAGTGAATCATTTGGACTGAAATTTTCAGCAAATTCCCGTTATATTATCTAGTTTTTAACTATTATAGTGCGAAATGCCAGCTCTTTATCTAATCTCCCATAATGTATCTTGAATAAAGATGTACTATACTTACTTGTTATGATTTTACTGGTAAGACTAGACCCTGTTAATGAAGTAGCTGAAAGATAAAGAAACAAGTAATTAATTTTGAAATAGGCAACAACTGAACGATAAAGAAAGAAACAAATAATTAATTTAGAAATAAGCATCATGATATTGTTCAAACTACATGCTGATTCTCTTGTTTAAATTGCAGGAACAAATCTAGGGTTGTCTGATCCTTTCTGTGGTTGGGTGCCCATTCCTTGCTTGCTACCTTAAATATTCCTATATTTACCGGTGCAAGGATAGCAGGAGCGGATCCAGGAATTTTTGATTTTTGCGGGAGGTGGTTTGCCAGGTTTCTGAAACAACGCATCTGGGTTTTCCTGGGGGGGGGGGGGAAATTGTTTGAGAAATACATGGTCTCTGTCGTCATTTTGACGTATATCTGAGGTAAACCAGATGTCACTTTGACAAAACACAGAAACAGGGACTTTACATACTAAATACGTGTACCTACTATGCTACGTTTTACATTTACTGATATGCAATACGTTCGGCACGAGTTTGACAGGAAACTTTAAGGAAGCAAAATAGAAAAAACAAAATCCGACCGCGACTGTGTCAAACACGAAAGTATCAAGAAAATTCATCACATAAACTATTCGTTTATTTCTTTTTTTTTTTCAAATCAGCCGGGGCAAGAGCCTAAAATAAAGTTTTACACAATTATGACTCCAAATATAACGGGGAGAATAAGCGGCGTGGGTGTTTTTGTTGTTGTTGTTCTTAGTGTTTAACGTCCGCTTCCACCGAAGGTGATATCGCAGACAAGTTGTCTTTTTCTTATGTTCATTATCTTAGCGCACGCGCAGGGATCTTTCCTGTGGGAAAACCGGAGTACCCGGAGTAAACCCACGAGGTTGAGAAGGCGCCCCTATCTCCAAGCCACATACGCTCACACAAGGGATCGAAAGCACAACCGCAAGCCAGAGGTGACCGGTCAGCTAGAGGTCGAAGCGTGACACTCTAGACCACAAGCCCCCCCCCCTCCCCCGGGAGTT